AATTCCGAGCTTTTCTGGATTGGGAATTTGCAAAAAACTATGTCCCGCTCTGTTCTTTAATATTTGTTCCTTCTTCACTCTCTTTTTTGAAATTATCAATGTTATTTCCAAATTATAGGTTTGTTTCTAGTTAAATCTACAGCAATCCTCATCCACAATGCAGAAAGAAATGCCAACCCCCAGGTTGGAGTTTCTTCCTCTCCTCCAGGACGATTAAACTAAATTTCGAAAAATAAGTAAAATCCGATAGCCACGGCACGTTTTAGCCAGTGAACAGTGTTTGTTAGTGAGTGGTACTTGCAAAAAGACAGTGGGGAGAGGAAGCAGTAAGGGAGGCCCGAGAAGAGTGGCCTGCCCTGCTCGTATTGCATAAAAGTGGTTGATATCGGCTGAACACGCGCATCCAAGGTAAAATGGCTTAGTAACAGCTACAGTCAGTTTTAGAATACGTTTCAGTAATATCACTGAAGTTGCCTCTCCACACTGATTGTCCATGCTTCCCAATTGTTTATCTTGATTGCTTGTGGATGGTAAATTTGATATGTTTCTGTAGTGAACGTGTACCACCGATCTGCGATATGTAAATTTTTGTCATTTTGTGATACATTTTTTTCTTCTTTTAAATTATTAATTTCCTGAGTTGTTGCCGGTATTCTTCGATACTGTGATTATTCCTTCAAATTAATTTTTGTTTCTGATAATATGTTAATTAGAGTTATGGTTGCCAGTGCCATAACTAATTATAATTTATTAGTGTGACCTAACACGACTGAACTCCGCTTGTTCCTGTGTAGCACAGAAAGCGCCTCACTCCCCTCCTCATCACAAATAATCCGAGCTACCTTGTTATTTTTCGCGAAAAAGCTTTTAAACGATGCATAAAAACCGGCTAGAAACTGGTGTTTCAAAAAAATACCATAGCTTTTTTTGTGTGGAATTATCCTGGATTCTAGCTAGCTTTTTAAGATACCAATGAAGTGAGTTTTCAGTTGCCTTTGCTCCTCCTGTTACTTGTACTGTACTACCACCACTCATCTGTGATTGTATTTGTTTTGTACTATTTTCTATAAATGAACGCGTTTATATTGTACCAAAATGTTGTTTTATTTTAAGCAAAAAAAGGATATTTTTTTTAAACTCCTGTGCTTCCCAGCTCAACAATTTATTCATTCAACCAGTGGTTTGGAAAAATTCTAGCGAATACGCGCGAAAAACCAATAGGAATCAGAAAATATGTCTACTGTAATAGCTCAGACATCATACAATTTAAGAACATGGACGAAATAAATACAGAGATGTAACCAGCGAGCATAAGAGCTGGTAGTGTAATGAATAATACGTCACGATTCAAAGGAAGCGTGGATAATGAAACGAGAAGTTCAGTTCCCTCGAAGTCCACATTCTTTGTAAAAAGAAGCTCTGTTCGCCACAAAAGTTCGCGAAGATACATCCTCTTTTTATTGCCATTTTCGTCGAAGGATCAAAACCCAGGCTGGAACGCACCAGGCGGGCCGGTGCGATTATGCGTTTTTGCACTTCTCGTGC